CACTGTGCCCAGCGAGGCTGGGTATCTTGAGAAGGTATTTGCTGATGGGAACCTACAGGAAAGGACATTATCAAGACATCCCTCTATAAGCAACCCCCATCCCCTTGGTAGCTCCTTGTGAGACATTCTGGCCGTCAGACACTTAAGTGGTGCAATTTGTAATTTATTCTCCAGTCCTGGACAGAAGGCAAGGAGAAGAGGCCAGTACCTCACTGTGGTTCTAATTATGATGGTTCTGCATCATTTCAGAAGGAACGGCATGCACACGCGAGAGCCAATGCTAGTGGTATGCTCAAAGGAGGAGATTAAATATTGCTTTTCCTGTCTGGATCCATGGTGATTTCATGAACTAAATATCATCAAGAAGTTTTGATGAGAATCCATTGGCATCAACTTGCCCATGGACTCCAGACCGTATTCATTCTTCATGTATGCATGAAGTTGTGCATCACTCCTCCACAGCAATGCTACCTGAGGCACTTGCAATCAAGAGGCTGTTTTGCACAGTGGTTAACTACACGGTCTCCAGAGCCAAAATTCCTGGGTTCCAATTCTAGGCTGGCCACTAACCAAGAAGGTAATTTTGGAAAATCACTGAGTCTCTGGGTCTCAGGATCCTCACTAAACCATTGCCTTCATTTCACATAAGATTCTACTCAGAATCCCTCAGGCAGCCGGGCACGATGGTGCATGCCTGTCATCCCAGCGACTCGGGAGGCTGAGGCAGGAAGATCAAAAGTTCGAGGCCAGCCTCAGCAGTTTAGCAAGGACCCAAGCAACTTAGCGAGACTCTAAATAAAAATATTAAAAAGGGCTGGGGATGTGGCTCAGTGGTTAAGCATCCCTGGGTTCAATGACAGGTTTAAAAAAAAAAAACAAAACAAAAAGCCCTCAGGCAATGCCAATGGGGTTACACAATGGGGTGCTGGTGAGTTTTGCTGATAACATATGCAAATGGAAACACAGAAGGGAGCCTGGCACACCGTCACTGCTCAGGGACCCACAGCAGGGATATTCTGACCACTGGCACCACGTTCCTGTCTAAGTTCTGCCTTTTGCCACCCATCGTTGTTCTTCTAGAGCCTCAGAAGTGTGACCATAAAGCCGGACGATGGGTTTTCCACTGTGACTGGGGGGGGGGACCAAGTTTAATGTCTTCAGGTCATATGTCCTGAGGCCTTAGGAGGTGCCTGGAGGGGGTGAGGAGAAGCTGCACATGGTCCTGCCCTCCAGGGACTCTTAACACCTTAGAATCAGCGCCTACCAGGCCTTGGTGACCAGACATTCACCACCTGGTCTGCACAGAGTGGAATGCAGAACATGGCTTCCATTACTTCTGTGGCCAGCAGAAGGCAGGGGAGACCGCGTCCAAGTGAGTATCTCCAGAATCGAGTCCTCCCTTCCAACCTCGCTAGCAGAAACACGGAGCAGCCAGGAGCTGACACGGGCCTCCAAGACTGAGAAATCTGCTGCTTATAGAACTTTCTCTTTAGTACCAGGGACTGAGCCCAGGGGCACTCGCCCACTGAGCCCCATCCCCAGCCCTGTTTTGTATTTTATGTAGAGACAGGGTCTCCCTGAGTTGCTTAGGGTCTCACCATTGCTGAGGCTGGCTGTGAAATCACCATCTTCCTGCCTCAGCTTCCCAAGGCGCTGAGATCCCAGGCATGTACCATCTCAACTGGCAAATGATAACAATGAAACCTCGAGAGTGAGGTCAAGGATTGAGAATTAAAAAAGAGGCTGCAAACACAGCCCCCGAGTAGAAAAGATTCATTTTCTAAAGCATGGGAAGACTGGCAATTGCCATCCGCCTCTCTGAGACTCATGAATGGTGCGGGTTTAATGAGCCCATCAGTCTGCTCACTAGCACTTACAACAGGAACGAGATTCATTAGAGGCTCCGGTGCGATGGCCACTCACTTTCTCATTTAACCAAGCCCCTGTCTCGTTCTTTCATCCAATCTTCTCATTACACCCCTCTCCCCCCACACACCCTACAGGAGGGATGATTAAACGTCAGCCCTGATTCAAATAACTAACTCGAGGCAGAAACAAACATATTTATGTGCTTTCTGCGAAGATTAATAGTAGCTAGCAGGAGCCTGCCGGCCGCAGATGTGCAAACTTTCTGTCCCATCCATAAATCACACAGGAGGCATATGGCATATTTTAAAGACTGCTGATGTGACACTGATTTTCAATGGCCCGGGTTCTGGAGCAAACCATGTAGCTGCCGACTAATGAGGCCATATCTTCTGGACCTTTCCATATGAGGGTGATAAGATGTAACAGCACCAACAGAGAGAAGGACCCAGGAATGAAGAAGAGAGAACCCAGACGTCTTCGGGATCAGGGAGCCTGTTTCTTTTATGGGTCGTCTGCTGCTTTAGACAAATTCTTTTGGCCAAGTTCCAGTAACTGTTAGATAGGAGAGGAGGGTGGTTCGCCACTGTCGGGTGCTGGCTGGATCAGAGACGTGCAGGCTCTGCTGAGAACCACTTCAGAGTTTTTAGCCGGGCGCAGTGGCACACGCCTGTCATCCCCAGCGGCTCAGGAGGCTGAGGCAGGAGGATCGCGAGTTCAAAGCCAGCCTCAGCAACTTGGCAAAGCCCTAAGCCACTCAGGGAGACCCTGTCTCTAAGTAAAAGATGGAAAGGGCTGGGGATGGGGCTCCGTGGTTAAGCACCCCTGGGTTCCATCTGTGATACCAGAAAAAAAAATTTAAAAAAAAAAGAGTTTCCAGGTTGTTGGACACAGAAAGGGATAAGTGTGCAGAGTCAGTGTTATTCACAGCCAAGGAAGCACAACACGAGGCTGCGACCCACAGGAAGAGGGGGGACTACTTCTCCCACCGTGGGCTCGCACCTTCCCAAGTCCCAGGGAAGTCACCAAGATCAGACCCCAGGCGCGGGGAAGCCCTCTGTCAATCACTGACTGGTGCACAAGAGCCACGCATCAGCCCGGACCGTCATTACCCAAATCATCCTTACGCTCTAGTTATTTCCTGCGACGTCGTGGTCACGGTTTAAGAACCAATTACCCGAGAATCAAGTGGTCTAGATACGAGAAGAGTCTTCGGAATTGGACTGGAACATTTTTTTTTTTTTAAATAAAATCTGCACAATGGTTTTTCTATCTGCTCAAGAAGGGCCGATTGAGCATTTTGATTCACATCGACAGTCGCTCTGTGTTTTCAATTTCCTTCCAATGACCCCAATCATCTTTGTCACAAAAGACGCAGCTTCCTGAGAGGATGGAACCAACAGTAAATAAAACCTGGATTCTGATCTCTTTCCAGAGGACCCGAGTACACCGTGCAGGAAATGAATCAGGTTGGCAAAGATCAGGAGCCACTGACCGTGGACCCCACTGCGGGCAAAGATCAGGTGTGACCACTCAATGACCCGCACCCCAGAAGCAAGGTCTTTCAAAGTTCTGCAGACTATTTCTCAGGGTGAGGTCCCAGGAGTGCAGGTAGGGCAGGGTGGGATGCCCAGGCAGGGAGACACAGGACCCATTCTCATGTCTCAAGATTTAGAATATCCCAGCTCTCTAGATCTGCAACCACCTGCACAGCAGTAGGCTGAGGCACATTTTGAATATCCTTGGCCGGGGCTGTTCTACCACTTGCAAATGAGCACATCTTCATTCACTCATCTGTGAACACCTAAAAGGGTGTTAAATGCCATGGATTACATGTATCAGCATGTATGCATGGGGTCCTGGCTGCATGGACCTTATGTTCTAGTGAAAAGAAAGACAAAGAAAAAAAAATATATATATATATATAATAACGCCTTGCAATAATAACATGGTTTGTCAAGGTTCTAGGAACTGAGTTTTGGAAGCATCCAGGAGCAAATTTAGATAAAGTGATTCAAGAAGCCTTTTCTCAGGAATGCAAATGAGCAAAGGGCTGGGAAAGGACATCCCGGGCAGAGAGAACAGGACGTGCAAAGGCCCTGCAGTAGAAAAGAGCCTAACCCATGAAGGTCACTTCAGAAGGAAGTCAAATATGTCTGAAGCAAAGTGACAAGAAGGAATGTGAAAGGAGGTCAGAGGCGTGTCCAGAACCCACATTTTGAAGCCTGCACAGCAAGCAGTTCAAAGGTTTCGAACTCCTCCGTGGTTCTTAAGGGACGCATTCTGATTCATGTTTTCAAGTATCACTCTGACTGCACCACAAGGTGTCTCAGCCATAAGCTTAATGGGAAGCAATCAAAGGTTTCAGTAATAATGACCATGAGCTGGGCGGGAGAGGTAGCTCTTCAGTAGAGCACTCGCTTAGCATGCCCAAGGCCCTGAGTTCCAATCCCAGTGTCGCCAAAAGAAAAAAATAAAAATAAAAAGAAAGAAAAGAAAAGAAAATCTTCAATGACCACTTAAAAGAACCGGCCAGTCACCCGGAGACCAGTAAGGACACTAAGCCACGCATCTCACAGAGTCACAGAGCAGAGCTACGTACCTCCTCGCTGCACCAACAGGGTGACCTCGCTTCCCTTGGGACACTCGATGAGCATATCCACCACCTGGTTGTGACTCAAGGCCTGCACGTTCTTCTTATTGACCTCCACGATGAGGTCCCCTTCTTTCAAGCCCCGGCACCTCAGGCCGTCCACGATCTGCTTCACTCTCTGGCCCCCGCCGCCCGGGCTGTCGGCGATGGTGAACCCGAAGCCCACGGGCCCCTTGACGATGTGCACGGTGATGAGCTCCGGCTGCGTGGCGATGGACGAGGCCAAGGACACGGTGTCGCTGGGGTACCCGTGGGAGCCCGCGGAGGCCACGTCCGCGGGGCTGCTGGGCCTGGCGTCCCTCATGCTGCTGGCTTTGCCTGTTTGACTGCTGTGGCTCGCCGGGGAATCGTAGGTCTCCTGTCCGTTCACGATAATGGGCTCTTTGTCCAAAATAGCCACCGAGGTCACTAAACTGGTGTTGGGGTCATCTGGGTCAAAAGGCAACGGGTAACCTCGGCAGAGTTCAAGGTCCACGCTGGCACCAATGGGGATAGACTGGAAGATTTTCACAACTTGCGCGTGCGTGTGTCCCAGGACACAGGTGTCGTTCACGCTGACGATGACATCGCCTAGAAAAGGTCAGAGTTTGGGGGTGGGGGAGGTGTCAAGAAGCAGGTAGATATTAAACTATCCCACCGATGTCCAGAACCCACCACCCCACATCATGCCCCTTTGGTGCAGGGATTATTTTGAGCAAAGAGACACTTTAAAAAATGAGGCAGGCGCAGTGGTGCACGCCCGTCATCCCAGCGGCTCAGGAGGCTGAGGCAGGAGGATCTCGAGTTCAAAGCCAGCCTCAGCAACTTAGTGAGGCCCTAAGCAACTCAGTGAGACCCTGTCTCTAAACAAAATATAAAATAGGGCTGGGGAGGGGGCTCAGTGGTTGAGTACCCCTGAGTTCAATCCCTGGTACCCCCAAAAATTAGATATGCAAAGGAGGTGAAATTTCACGTGGAAGCTGTCCTTCCTAGACGTGACATTCTCACTTCATTAACATTCCTATCAGGAATAGGAGATCAAACCAGAGGAATTTGCACACATCAACCCTGTGAAGCCAACCTTACCTTCCCATTCTTATAATATTCCCAGGCCCAGGCAAAAGTTGGTAGAGAGCAGATGCAAGATTCTGCCTCCTTTACACCCCCACTGAACACAAAGCTGAACCTGAACTTGGACTTGGGACTGATACCGTGAAGCATAAAAAGAAAGTTTCCATCTTTTTTTTTTTTTTTGTACTGAGGATTGAACTCAGGGGCACTCACCCTCTGAGCCCCATCCCCAGCCCTATTTTGCATTTTACTTAGAGACAGGGTCTCCCTGAGTTGTTTAGAGCCTCGCTTTTACTGAGGCTGGCTTTGAACTCGTGATCCTCCTGCCTCAGCCTCCCAAGCCACTGGGAAGACAGGCGTGGGCCACCGTGATGCCAGCTCTTTGCTTCTCTTGTTGCACCTACCACCTTGCTTGCTAATGAGAAGATCATCACCATTAAGAGAACATTGGTGCTTTCTTCTCTATAGAAATTCTCACTGTGGAGAGATCCAAGTTTAGCACCCATTTCTCCAAGTGGCTCCACAGTTTTAGTAAATTGCTGGATCACTGTATTCAATAGCACCCTAACAGCTCCCCTAAATTAAAATGGCTTCAGAGGATCTGACCTGCACCAAGGGCTGAATTGTGGTGATGGAGGGCTCCAGCACACCCCAAGGTATGCAGAGGACATTTATGAACCACGAGTCCTTTGGTGACAGCCAGCTCAGGGGTGGGTGGAGTCTCCCTTCACAGCACGTGCAGGGGCCCTGGGGACCTTACCTGTTTCCATCTTGCCATCCAGGGCGGCAGGACCGTCCAGGACCAAGCTCTTGATCTGGAGGAACTCGTCCGGTTCGTCCCCGCCAACTACCGTGAAGCCGAAGCCGCGACTGCTTTTCCGCAGCTTCGTGTGGATGAACTTGCCTTTCAACTCAGAAGGGTTTCGTGTAAAAAAGGGTTTGCCTGGGTACCAACAAGAAAGGAAACAACAAGGAAAGTCACTGTGAGCGGGAAGTGGACTCAGTCAGTGAAGAGAGGGCGTGGGGGGAGGGTGGGGGAGGGGAGGGGTGGGGGAGGGGTGGGCTCTCCAAGCTTGCAGGCTGGGTCTTTGGCTCTAAGGGGTCCTGAGAAAGTGCTCTGCTTGGTATGAGGGGAAGAAATGGAACGAATTATGTAATGTGCATGTACGATTGTGCCACTGTGTGTCCCCTTCGGTCTGATTATAATGCACAAATTAAAATGAGGTCCTCTCCTGATTTCAGGAATAGGTGGTTTGAGGCCCCCATGTAGGAAGTGGGTATTGTACACAGAGGGGGGCATCTTTAGGGCCCAAAAGAAGATAGAAGAGAGGACAAGATCAGTCCTCACAAAGTGACAGCCTTCCTTAGTTTCAGTTCTCGTAGTTCTAAGCTGCCACAGAAAACAGTCAGCCTTTGGTGTCTTTTGATAGATTGATTGATTGGTTAATTGATTGGTTGATGGTACTCGGTATTGAACCCAGAGATGCTTCATCACTGAGCCACATCCCCAGCACTTTTTAAATATTTTATTTAAAGACAGGATTTTTAATTGCTTAGGGCCTCCCTAAATTGCTGAGGCTGGCTTTGAACTGGTAATACTCCTGCCTCAGCCTCCTGAGCTGCTGGGATTACAGGCGTGTGCCACCACGCCCAATTTCTTTTATTTTTTATTTTGTAGCATGGCTTCTGAGGTGCTGGGTTGGGCTTGGCTTCTACATTTAAGACCAACTGGATGAAACCTTAGTTTTGAAATCTTAGTTTTTAACTAGATGGACAGATAAGAATGCTTCCCCTCACCAATAATAATAATAATAATAATAATAATAATAATAATAATAATAATAA